CTTTTGCAAATGAATGGGGTAAATTAATCTTTTTAGTGTTAAAAATTAAATTTAAAGTTGTACTTCATGCTAAGGGAAGACAGTGAGAACACAGAACAATAATGCTTTTGTCTTTCACTAGGAATTTCAACTTCCCAATAGATTTTATATTGTTTAGAAGTTAAGGTTTAGATATTCTCTTGCTTTTGCAAATGAATGGGGTAAATTAATCTTTTTAGTGTTAAAAATTAAATTTAAAGTTGTACTTCATGCTAAGGGAAGACAGTGAGAACACAGAACAATAATGCTTTTGACTTTCACTAGGAATTTCAATTTCCCAATAGATTTTATATTGTTTAGAAGTTAAGGTTTACTGTGGGATTACTCCATCTTGACAGCCCTCAAATGCTGGCTTCAGAAGGGATGGTCCTGAAAGCCTTATTCTTACGAGTGAGTCCTTGCATCTTCATTTTGTTTCTCGCCAGCCCAGCTGTGGGACTTGTGTCAGAATCTCTCCCGGGACAAGCACAGTCAGTCGTGTTTGGTGTGAACTCTCACACTTGTGAACTCGCTCTGTTTCCTACAGGACCGTGGCTGTGCAATTTGCAGGCTGTAATCCCAGAGTTCAGCCAGTGGGTAGCTGGCAGTGGCAGTGATGTGTACTGTTCCTTCCCTGGAGTGCTGGTAAAGTCCATTTGGAGAAAGAAAAAAAATAAATAAATCAGTATTATAAAAACCGTTGATTTCATGTTTATAAAGCAAAACCCCCAACCAACACAACCTTGGATCACGCTTTGTTGTTAGTGTGCAGGGTGTAGTACTTGCTGTTGTGTAGGAAACTCTGAGACTCACTGGAACTCTGTCTTGCCTGGTTTTCTTCCGTAACCCAGAGGACCTTTTTCACTGCTGTTACATGGAGCTTTCTCCCTCGTGACTGTTGGCTAGCTCATGTCTTGCATGAGCATCAGATTTTTCAAGAGGGGAAAAAAATACTTGATGGGGAGATTATTTTTTCAAGTCCTGGCGCACATTTGCATGATGTAACAGAAAGAGTGGCGATTGCAAACTAAGCCAATTGCGTCTCTCTTCTTTGCAACAGACAACTGATGTTTTTGTGTTGACCTATTCCTTTGGTACTCTGTGAGGATAAAAATGTTTTTTTAATCTATGATCTCTAGTTTATAAAATCACAGGATTTCCTGCTTGTCCATAATTCCGGTCCATGTCTGTTGTTTTTTTTTTTAAACCTCCTTCATACTGCAGTAAGGAAACAAGTTGTAACAAATTTCTGCTAAATCAGTATTCCGTTCTTGAAATTATTACCAGCTCCTTTGGTCTTTGCCACCCTTGGAATTGCAGTGACAGAAAGAAAGTGTATTTTTACTGAGAGGTCACTCCAGGTCACGGCGTAGGATATTTGTGCGGGCTGCGGATGCGATACCTTTGGCTCAGCTGTGCCAGCTGAAACACAGGGCTGGTTTTGTTGCCTCGGGAGTATGAGGCTGCTGCCTGCACTGCTGCCTGCTCCTTCTAGTTGCCCTCAGAGCACAAAGCCCTGGAATACAAACAGGGACATGTTTTTGTAGGGGTGTCTCTGACCGGAGGAAAGAGAATTTTGTGCTACTGGAACATGCATATTGAATTACTGTTCTCTATGAAGAGGCGTGGAAAGTACCGTGTCAGGTTGAAGAATAACATTAACGATGGAAATTCAGTTTAAAGCAGCTTTGAATATAAAAAAGAAAGAAAAAAAGCCTTTTTAACCAAACCATCTTTCATTTTAAGTATATGTTATGTACTTCAGGAAAACTACTACAGAAATATTTCAGAGATTTTTAATATGTTGGAAATTTTTTATACTCCAATCTATAAAACTGCTATCTTTCTTTCCAATCATTTTAACCAAACCATCTTTCATTTTAAGTATACAGTATGTGCTTCAGGAAAACTACTACACAAATATTTCAGAGATTTTTAATATATTGGAAATTTTTTATACTCCAGTCTATAAAACTGCTATCTTTCTTTCCAGTCAGAATTCAGAAGGTGCCTGGAAGGCATAAAATAGTGTTTCTAGATGTAGAAGTGTAACAATACTGAATTATTAGATTATTAGATAGTCTGGTGGTTAAAAGAAAGATCACATTGCAACAAGAAACTGCAACTCTTTCCTTATAATTTTTCCCTCCCTGTTTGGACATGCAATATATGATTTTAAAATTGCATTCTATTAGCATATAGGGAACTTAGATTACCATGATGGCAACCATGAAAATTTAGTGAAAGAGGTTAGGGTTGTTCTACATTTTAGGGGAGATAGAGGAAATGTCCTTTACATGATTTGTGAGTGTGGCTTTGGGGGTTTTTAGCCCCACTCTCTGAGGAACTGAAGCTGAAGTATTTCCCAAGCCAGCCACAGAGAATTCTCTCTTCCCGTACTTTTTTAACACTTTGACAGTTTCAACTAAATTGTCAGGAAGACAGAGGCATTGTATGCAATTATTTTCCAATGAAACTTCTTCCCTTAAGCTGCTGGGTAAAGGGGGAAGTGCCCTGTTAATTTCTACAGTGAAGGGGAGACTGCAGTGGGATATCGGTGCGTATTACATATCACAAAATCCTTGGAAGTGCACATCCTGAGATCAGAAATCCCAAGAAGTCAGGATCATAGTGTTTGCTGCTCTCTGAACTGCTGGTTTATTTAAAAATGTGGATATTTGGTATGAGCAGGGTGACATTAGAGGGTGAAAGACGGGTGAAGCAGCCGCAAGCTAGCAATTGGTAAGTCTGCTGCATTCTGACACGTGTGAGTTGCAAGAACATAATTCAGCACTGACCTCAGTTAGAAATAGACTCGTTGGTCTTTGGTCTTTGTGGTTGTTTTTTTTTTGTATGTGTGTGTGAAAAGGAGTTGAAAGCAATGGAAATACTGTGTTGATAGGTGTTGGGGAAACTTAGATGATATAATTATACTCATGTGATCGGTTATGACATTGCTCATGTTCTTACTCTTGTCTTTATTCCAGTAACATGTCTGATGCTCTCGCAAACGCAGTATGCGAACGCTGCCAGGCTCGATTTGATCCTGCAGAGAGGATTGTGAACAGCAACGGGGAGCTCTATCATGAAAACTGCTTCGTCTGTGCTCAGTGTTTTCGTCAGTTCCCAGATGGACTTTTTTATGAGGTGAGGTCTTGTACTATGTGTAAGAGAAGAGAAATAGCTCTATTAAAATGCAAGGAATTAGGTGAAAATTCTGGCAGAAATATGAATTTCCATCTTTTTTTTTGCATATTTAATTTCTTAGCCTTAAATCTTTGCTGCTATTTTTTTTGGTGGGCTTCCGACTTCATTTCCATTTTTTCCTTCTCACATAGTCCTTTCCATACATCAGTAACAACAAGAACTGTGTGCTTGCTTTTTGGGTAGAAGCGTTTCAAAGAGAAAATAGAAAATGATTCTTAATATTGCATTAGATGTAAGTGAATTTTTGTCTTTATTTTTAGACATTTCCTACCAATTGGGCAACTTTTCCAATTGGGCAACTGAAATTTTTGTCTTTATTTTTAGACATTTCCTACCAACCTTTTCCAATTGGGCAACTGAAATCGGTGAACCCATTTAAAAATGAGGTTGAAATATTTTTACAGACTATGTGTGAGCACATATTTTGAATAGTGCATTATTTTAAACATGCTGCATTCTTGATTTGCTATGAGTTTTAACCTCATGTAGGAGGAGCAGTTCTGAATTACATGAGTAGAAAAACCTAAAGCAATAATGAAATGAAAGCCAACTATAGGAAAAAAGCTTTGGACGCGTCAAGATTTTTACTGTCTAGTAGCAGCATTGCTATTAACTTAACCTTTTGCTGTACAAATTCACCATGAGGCTGAAGCCATATCTGGATATTTCTTTAAGAATAATCCTTAGCAATTTAAAAAATGGTGGGGGGGGTTCTAGAACTGGAAAACTTGACTGACCTTGACTAATTGGGCATTTCAATGGAAGATCATGCTGAACTATCAAGACATGAGTAGTTCAGTTATTCATGAGGGCTTCTCCTCTCTCCTTTTGTTCACAGTTTGAAGGTCGGAAGTACTGTGAGCATGACTTCCAGATGCTGTTTGCTCCTTGCTGCGGGGAATGTGGTAAGACATGGTGCACATCAACACCACGGGGTAACAGCTCCAGGGCTGTGCAAAGCTCCCACCATTGCAGTGACAACCAGCCCTGAGCTGGGATTGTTGGGGTCATTTTAAGGGGTTGGAGCTCTGGAGGGAAACAAAGCACGATACCAGCAGTGCTTGTGGGAATAATTGTGGGGTTTTTCAAAATTAGACTGTAATAATTCTTGTGGAATTAAGTGGAAGGATTATGAAGGGCAGTAGACTTATGATAAGACCTTTTTCTGCGTGCATCTTGAGGTTTTGGTTTCCTTTTGCAGGTGAGTTCATTATTGGGCGTGTTATCAAGGCAATGAACAACAACTGGCACCCAGAATGTTTCCGCTGTGAGCTCTGTGATGTAACACTTGCTGACCTGGGTTTTGTGAAGAATGCTGGCAGGTAAGATAGAGTAGGAGCTCTGAAAGTTTAATCAGTGTGTTCTTGACACAGTAGTGAGAAGTTGAGAGTGGTCACTTATTTGTACACTGAGAGGTAAAGCTTGAAAAGGTAGAGAATACCCCGTTAGGAGATGCAAAATGGAATGAAGAATGGTGTTCTTCATCCAGTGAAACATGTAGAAAGCAGAAATTCAAATTTGAGTAGCTAGTGAATGGGTTATGGACAAGAAAGGGATTTTGGGCAAAAAGGCTCAATAGCAACTGAGAAAAAGGGATTATGTGATCTTGGGCAGGCTATATATCAGATAAACTGCTGAGCAGGAAATCAAGATATAGCAAAAGGCCAAGAGAATAACACGAAGATTACAGCAAAGCCTATAATGCAACATGTGATTCCCCTGGTCTTTGGAAATAATTCGTTTTATATACAGAAATATAAAAATGAGTCCTAAAGGTTGATTAATGCATTTAATTAAGAAGTAGGAAATAAAAACATGAAACTTGTACAAAAGCATACCAGGATAAGAAAATAGAACAATCTAGCAGTTAGCGGTGTTGTACGATTCATAGTTAATTTCAGGCTTTCATATGTCTTGAGCAAAGCCTAGTAGTTTCCTAGAGTTTATATTACAGTCACTAACTAAATGGTGAAGAAGGGAAGGAAATGTTATATACTTGTACCCCGCCCAGCAGGGAGTCCTCTCAGCTCCTTCTTCTCTTCCATCCTGCATGCAACTTCTGTGCCTTAGTTTTTGGAGCTGGGCGTAGTTGACTTTCTTTTGACACCTAAGGTTGTTAGGAAGGGCTGTTGTGATAGCACCTAGGGTCGTTTGGGATAGCAGCTAGGATTAAAACAGTTCAAACACGAAAAAGTATGTTTGATTTCATAATTTTGGGGCCAAATTTAAAATGGTAAGGAGCTCATTCCCAAAAGTATAGGGAAGGGATATATGTGTGTATATATCTGTACATAAAAATTCTAATTCACCTGTCACGTGATTTCCTATAATATTTATCTCCATAGCATAGAAACAGTCTTCTAGTAAATATTATTGGAAAATCTTTTTCTTACTTCTCATTGTACTTGAGCTTCCCTGCCCGTCATTTCCAGACATATTCCACTGCATGCAACTTGTATCAGGGAGGATAGTTAAGATAAACCCTACTTTATCTGTAGCGAAGGAATAGTCTTGCTAGGTAAGTCACAAAATATAATTGTGAAGCACCTCAAAGATAAGAATCTCTTCCAGACAAAGTAGAGTTCACTTCTTCATGTGCTTACTTTTCTTCAGTTTTGCTGTTTGGATTCATATTTTTATGATTCGGTATGTTGTAAAGGTGAATGCTGTGTTCCTGAACAGCCCTTTTCCCTTCTTTAGTTTGAGGGCTATCAGGATATCTGATGTTTTGCAGGGACCTGCATGAAAGAGGCAGTGTAGTAAATGTTGTCCAGCCTCTGTCTGCAGCTTTGGGACAATGGCAGAGGGCAGATAGAAAAGATAGCATGAAGTCTAGTGCTCATCTCCAGCTCTGAATACTGGGAATAAGTAAAAAAAGTTGTGAGTCGTATCTCAATTCCAGTCCAGATTGGGTGCATTGCAGTATTTTGGTCTTTTTTTCTTGCCACCATTTAGTATCAATTTTCTGTCTACTATGTATAAACCCTTTGGATTCAGAGACTTGAAGAAGATGTGCAAGCATGCTGTCTTTTCACCAGGCAGGTCTGTCTGAGGGGTGAACCTCGACCTCTGGCACAATATAAAATTTTAAAGTAGGCTGTATGCATTGTGCAGAGGAAGAGTTATTACAGAATGCTTTGGGAATTAAATTTGGGAATTAAAACCAAACAAAGGAGTCATCTGTTTAATAGTCTCTTTGTTCCCTTCCCAATTCCTTAGTGTTCAGCCCTCAGTTTCACATCTTGGAAATGAGTAGAACTGTACTTCTGTTCGCAGTTTCAGTCAGACAAGAACATGTGATCTCTGTTGTCAGAGGAGTTCTTGCTAATTACATAAAAACAACAGAACTTCCCTCCTCGGGATGAGTTGGACTCTGGGTGAACTGTCTCGCTGCATATTGACGCTCTCGGCTGATTTTGGTGGAATAGAGCATTCTTAAGTCAAAGCGGTGACAAGAGTCATGTTCACAGTTCAGATTTAGCACTTAGTGAGCTTTCATTTGTCTTACCCTCGTATGTTTGAGGCAGCATTACAGTCTTTTTAACACAAAACAGATTGCACAAAGCCTCACGGAATTTCTCAGCTACAAAAAAATACATGACTGGGTCAAAGGCACCGTTTAAACTGGTGAGGCAGGAAGTGATGCGGTTACTGAGGGCTAGAATCCGCTGTGTCTCACAGGAGGTTTTGGTCCCGTTGTAGTGGAGGATATAAATGTAGCGATTGACGTGATAAGGTACGAAGCAAATCAGAAAGATCATCAGGACCATGATGATCATTTTGATAGCTTTTTCCTTCAGGTGTTTCTCGACTCTGTTCCCACTCTTCAGGCTTCGGATGATTAATAAGTAGCAAGTCACTGTGGTAACGAATGGGAAGGTGAATGCCACCGCTAAGGACACAAGGGCATGACGTGAGGCCTTTTCTCTGTAGAGCTGCAGGCAGACGGTTGTGTTTTTCATCTGGACAGTCTGCACGCTGAGCAGCAGAGGTGCCATCGCAACCCCCACTATAACCCACAGAAAGGCACACGCCAAGTGGGCGTAAAGGGACCTGCGGAGCTTGATGGACTTCACAGGGTGCACAATGGCCAGGAAACGGTCAACGCTGATGCACATGAGGAAGTAGATACTGGCATACATGTTGAGGTAAAAAAGGAAACCAGTGAGTCTGCATGGGATCTCACCAAACGGCCAGTGATTACCAGAAAAATGGTACACCAGCCGGGTGGGAAGTACCAGCACGAAGGACAGGTCGGCCACAGCAAGATGCATCAGGAAAACGTTGGCGGGTGTGCCTGACTTTTGGTCCCGGATGAAGAGCCAAAGAGCCAGGGCATTGCCAACAAAAGCCAGGATGAAGTCCAGGAAGTAGAAAGTGGCAAAAAGGATGTTCTCGAGGTGCGTCTCTTTGCCACACTGCTCTGAAGTTTCGAAAGAGAAATTTGACTGACTTGAGCAATTCAAGAGTAGGCTTGAGGGATCTGCTGGGCCACGCATTTTTTCACCACAGTTTTGAAGAAAAAACACCGGGAAACCTGAAAGAATTGAGACAGTATATTACAAAAGAGCTTGGTTTTGTAAAGAAAGAAAACACAAAAACCCACCCCAAAAACCACACATGGAAATCAGTGATGTTTCCTGTTTGCTAATATTGGCATTTAATACGGCAGGTCAGTCTGAGTTCAAACCCTTATATTAAAATTCTGAATACCACCTGCGTGGCTGGATTTTCCAGACCATTAAATCCTGTTGAAGGAACCACTATAAAGTGCTGGGCAGCCAATTGTGAGCTTGTCTCCAACCTGTGCCGAAATCAGTTGAATAACAGAGCAGTGAAATGCTTGTGTGTCTGGTTAATGGAAGAGTGAAAGTGGGTTCTGTAAGTCTAGCTAGAAAGTGTTTGCTATATTTAATTTGAAAGCCTGACTGAGGACTGAAGAGCTCCTGATGAGCCAGCTTTTTTGAGCACAGGTATCTGTTGTAAGGTGACACAGCTTAGAACACCTGTCGTGTTCCTAAAAGAGGTGGAAGACAGGTCAGGTATTGCTGTTATTAAAAAAATCCACATGGTTGATGAAAATTTTTAAGAATCATTTAGTCTGAAGTCCTATATTTAATGCAAATGCCTTAAATATTGTTTAAATTCCAATATAGGAAGTTCCTAGGTCCAGTATAGGAAGAAACTCTTCAAATGGGTAGCAGCATCTCATTTGAACATGAACTGACTCAGAAAAGATTATTAGTAATGTCCACACTGTCGGTTACTTGTCAAAGTGTCATCCTTTCCTGCTGCTTTCTTCTCCCAGTATAACTCTCTCTCCTCCGCCCTCAAAAGCCTAAAATCCACTGTAGCTTATACAGGGCCTTATCCAAGTAGCAGCTTAGGAAAAATGAGCTTAGCTTTGCCCGTCTGTCTGTTGTCTGCAGGGTCCTGAAAAGCATCAACGACAAGTGATAAAATTGTCTGGAGCCAGGGCTTTTTATGCATTTCTCATCTGTGGGTATTAGGTGGTAGGGAAATGCAGACAGGCTGAGTTTCCAGCATTGTCTCTGCTTTTGGGATTCTTCAGAAGTGTTGGAGTTGTGCTTGCCATTGCTTTTGGTACTGTTGGACTGTTTCTCCATAATATTCAATACATCTTTAAATATATCCATTTTTCCCTAATGAGATTAAAGTTTTAAGATGGTTGCTGACATAGCTAGACAAAATCCGTAGTCTCGAGCAGAAGCTATGCTATATGCTGAAATCATACCTCCTTGGTTGTTCCAAGGCATTAAGCAATGCATCCAGCTTCCCAGCAGAACTGATTACTCAGATGTCTAAAAATATTGGTGGCTAATCGAGAAACTGAAATGGAATTAAGAATGCACCAATATATTGGAAAACGTAATCAAAATTCCAAGGTAATTACCATCTTTTGTTTGCTGCTGTCCCTTTCAGGTGGGCAGAAAGCTAAAATGGCTAGAGATTAATATGCTGGACCACTTCTTTTTTAGTTCACAGTTGAAGAGACAAAAGTCAACAGAAGGGAGACTGAATGACATTCAGGAACTGAAATTTCTTGATATGGCCACAGAGGGGCTGCCTTACTCCGTGCATTGCCTTGATACCCTGCATGTTTATGGCATAAAATGCTCTAGGTTTGAGTGTAGGGCTACTCACTGCCTCCTGCCAGCTGCTTCTCTGTAGTCCTAGAGATGGCAACAAATTATTAATGTGGAAGTTTATGTGCAAGGAAGACTATACTGCCCTTTTTTTACAAGGGGCATTTTACCTATAAAAATACATGTGAAATCTTGCTTTCATGTACAAAAGGAAAATTCCCTGTTGCAGTTTTCCATGTGAATTTCCTGAGCTTGCAGAGGAGCCTGCAACTTCTTTTTCTAGTGTTTATTTGTCCCTTGCAGAGTAAAACCTGCAAGTATTTTTGAACACAAGATAAGTTTAATATTAGTTTAAATATGTATTTTTCTATTGTATACCCAAGGAGAAATGTGATGAGACCATGCCTTTTTACCAGCTGTTAATCTACTATGGTACCTATCACCTGATGTTCTGGCTGTGCAGCTTGTTTTGTGTCAGGCACAATTTTTAAATATGCTTTTCAGCTGTGAAAAATGTAATCAGGTGATCTTTGTAAACACATGTGTCAGTGGTCAGGTGGTCTGATGGCTAAGCATTTACAGCTTGCAACACCACTGAGAAAGCAGTAAATGCTGGCTTGGACCAGTTGAAAAGGCAGAAGCAAGCGTTCTCTAAGGGAACAGAAAGGGATGTCTCTTGTCTTAATGATAATGATTTAAATCAGTTCAGGAAGTGAAGCAGTAAGCAGAATTTTTCCCTGTTTATAAGCTAAATACTAGGGATTTAGCAGCATGATACATGGAACTGATTCTGTTTGAGCTGATTTCCTAAGGAGGATCTTTGGGATTCAGATTCAGCTGAGTGTCAGTGCCAGACTTGAAATAGCCAAGACTTAGAAGTCAAGAGCTTTTTCTTCACTGGTTGCAGCACTGAGTCTGCCATTGACTTCTGTCTGGACCTGCTTTCACTGCAAAATACTGTGGGGTGGAGCAGGAAAGGGAATGTCAGAGCTATCTCGAAGCCCAGGATGTCAGTGTCGGGAAGGGAGAGGCTTAGGACTACTGATAAAATTGAAATAGATTCAGTCTTTTCAAATGAGTGCCTTCATAGGAGAGCTGCTGTTACCTAATTTATTTTTTAAAGCAAGGTGAAGGGAGGTATTTTTCATTGCCTGGTCAGAAATCGTAGAAAAGGGAAGTGAGCCTCTTTCTAATTTTGCTAAAGTTTTAAATTAGAAGGGAATTTGAATAACTTTTTTTTTTTTTCAATTCTTTGTGTTGACAAGATAATTGTGGTATAGCACTTGTGTAGGTTAGCAAAAAAGCTGATGTCGATAGAATTAATTGTTGAGCTTAATTTTAGAATTCATATGTTTACAACAAAATGGTATAACTTTATAAAAGTAATAGTTCTTTGACAATGTGGAAAGCCCTTTGCTGTTATTTACAGTTCCACTTCTATTTTGCCTGGTTTTACCCTATCAATTTTAAATATATTTAACTTTATTTTTTCTTTCTGTTTGGATTGTTGTGCTTACAAAAACCCACTGAAAGCTTGTTGTACTAGTCTGTATGAATGCTAAGAGCAAATTAGAAACCTTCCCAAGTGACCTAGAATGTGCAGTTTGTGCTAAGCTATGCGGTGCAAGAGGCCTTGACTTCACACACAGAAAACTCCTTTAGGAGTCTGGCTCATTGTCCAATAATTTCCGCTTGGATTGCGCTCTTGGTGTTGTGCGAATATTTAGTGATTTACGTATTGCTAAACAGAGCACTATTCTGGAATGAGCTATTAGTCCAGGCCTCCCAGGGCTGAGCTGTAATGGGGATGTCACTGCTCATTTAAAATGCACACACATGAACCATATTTTATGCCCCGTTTCTCCTCTGCTCAGAAACAAGCAAGATAACAAGCCACAAGGCTGTCCGTATAGGCGTAACTTGATTACTCTTTTAGCAGATGTTCTATTTATCATTAATGAAATAATTAATAAGCATAAGAAATATTTAGCTCATAGTAAGTCAGTTACCTGGCTAGTTTGGAGCTTTTGTTCTAACACCCACTGCAGATAAATTTGAACTATATGTTAGGGTTTGTAGTGAATATCAGAAATTCCTGGTCTTGCTCTCAGCTGGAGCAGTCTCTGGTTTCACAGAATCACAGACTAAAATGGGGTTTTTATGATTATGGTTGTAGCGCCTTGTCAGATGGGAGTGTTTCCTATCTTTCGCTGAAAGTGCTCTTGATTAGCAATAATCCACTTCTGACTGAAATTATTCTCCTGAAAGTCACCCCCTGCTGAGCCTCCCACCCTTCAGCTGAAGTACTTGTTTCTTGTGAGCATCGAAGAAGTGTCAGAGTGCACTGGACACACTGTACAACTGGCAGTTTTCCTGGAACAAATGGATGTACATTAAGTACAGCAATTTAAAAACTTCTATATTTTTGAGGAGTGATGTGAAGAAGAGAGAGGAAATTAGTCTTTGAAGTTGAAAAAATGTTGCTGTTTCTTAGTTTCAAACATTTCCATTATATTCATCTGCCCCTGTATGTGCGTCTTTCCACCTCACTGACACCAGCTCAAACTAATGCCATGAGGAAAGCTCCTTCATTATTCTGCTAACAGAAGTTTGTCTCTTACCTTTTTATATGCAGTCCTGTGGGTGGAGTATAGGGTCCTTTTTGGGAAAATCTCAAGGAACTCCTTTTGATGACAGGAAAACCAAATAGAAGCAGCAATGGTGAAAACAAGAAGATGATCCAGAAAGAGCACAGAGTTGCAGAGTTGCTGAGGGTGGCGAGGGGAGCCCCTCTATATAGTGTCCTTCTAGCTCTGATAGTGCATTATCAGCTCAGTCACACAACAGAGCAGGGGAGAGGACACCCCAGCACTGAAGAGCAGTCTTCATCCCAGCTGAGCTTTTGGCACTGGGGTTGCTGCTGCTGTTATAGATATGAATATACTGTATGAATATTCCAGTGTTCATGGTGCTTACTGAAGGCTGCTACTGAACTCTCAGCCGTGAACACAGTCCCCTTTGGAGTCCCCTGATTATTTTAGGAGGGTGGAGAGAAGCATTGTTTGGGGGAAGTCTGGTATTAATAGGCACAACAGGACATTTCAGAATGGGATAATTCCATAATGGTGGGAGTGGGGAGGGGAAGAAGGAGAGGGGCGGCTGCTATGGTAACAGCTTAGCCTGTCCAACACTTCCCTTTGCTTGCAATAGAGGAGGGTCTATGGGATGGCAGAGAGAGTTTGTGAGTGGGGAGGGGATGATAATGGTTTATCAGTGCAAATGGCTGAAGGCATCTTATTCAGCTGAATGAGAGGGGTCTCTTTCAGGACACTTGCTTCGGGGTCCCTATGTCCTGCCCCGTATAATTACTCTGCATTTGACAGTGCCGAATAAAATTGATGCCTTTATGCTGAGATGAGCACAGCTGCATGTTTCCTTATAATGGGGTGCTGTCTGCTTTTTCTGGACTCCGTCTGGGCAGACAGTAGTTCCAGCCCTGGAGAGAGACACTTGCTGACAGGAGGACTCAGATTTGGAGAGAATAATAATGATACTTAGCACTTAGACAGGCGCCTGCCAGCTGAGGGTCATAAATGTTTGAGGTCTCACAACAACATCTGTGTTGTATTCTTATCCCCATTTTACAGATCTAAGGGTAAGTGATTCATCGCAGCAGAATTTTGGAGGGGGCCCTGCAAAGAACCCACTACTTCAGCCATAAATCTACCCTTTCCATTTGAACTTTTCCTTTTGTCTGGTGTCTTTTGAGAATGACCTGTAAATCTCAGCGAGCATTTCACATAGTGATATAGTAGAAGGAATTAAACAGGCTTGTCTGTTTTGTGACAAAGAAACCCACAGAAATAGTTTCTTTGTCATTTTTGTTTTATCATAAATTCTTCCAGCCTACAGCATTGCAGCTCTGGAGGGTTAGGTAACAGGCGAGTAAACTGAACAGCTTCTCAGAGCTCTTAAATATTGGGATAAAACTGGTGGATTCCATCAGCCTTTACAGAAGTTTTTTATGCCTTTGCCCAGGCTTTTCTCCCAGAAATTTGGCTTATCTTCCTGTTCAGAACTGTACTTGTAATATGTTCTAGAATATGTGATAGGAAAACAGTTACGTTTATTGCATAAAATTACATGATTCTTTATTTTCTTTAACTTGGGACTAAGCTTTGTAGGCAAAAGAGCTAGTATTCAATGATCTCTTGTTTGTCCTAGCTATTGAAGACTAAGGAATCCAGCCACAGTAAAGGCATTCAAGCAATTTGGTTTAATATTTTTTGTTCTCTCTCCTCAACTCCCTCCCAGTACTGTAGTACCTCTGTTATGACTGGATCCCATAATTAGTAATAGAGAGAGCATGTTGCCACCTTCCCTTGCCCACCTCTCAAAAAGGATCTAGAAGAACTGGTGAGGATACCTAGAAGAATGACAGGGCAGTATCCCTGATGGGATAGAAATCAGTCAATGTTGGAGAAGTATTTGAAGAAAATACTCCCTTAGTCACTCTGTGACTGCTCTTTCCACATGTTATTTTGTGTGCAACTAATGTGAAAGGCAGGATACTAAACTAAATTGTGTTTAGGCTGACCTCAGAAGATGCTGCTTCTGTTACATAAAGTACATCCTGCAGCATGCTCTGTATGTTGTTTTAGGAGAAAGAATTTCTTAATGTTTTCTTTTCTTTACTTTGTTCAACCAGGCATCTTTGCAGGCCATGCCATAACCGTGAAAAAGCTAAAGGGCTGGGCAAGTACATCTGTCAGAAGTGCCACTTGATAATTGATGAGCAGCCTCTGATGTTTAGGAATGATTCCTACCATCCGGATCACTTCAACTGCACCCACTGTGGGTATGTTCTCATATTCTGAACTCTGACAACGGAGGAGAGAGCCAAGCAGTACAGTCAGCAGTGCAGTCCTTTCCAAGGCCTCAACTTTGCTGCCTTCACGTTACTGAAGAAACAACAATTGTGTGAGGACAAATTGAAAGAAATTGTGAAATTTTAGTTTTATTCTGCCTAAACTTGAATGACTTTATTTCTATCCTAAAAATGAATGACACTAGTTTATGCTGAAAAGAAAAATAATTCATTGGTATGAACTTACCTGAAAAGAAGGCTATGTGCAGATTACAATAATAGTGTTGTCCAAAGACAGCTGTTGCCAGGCTATTCAGAATAGTTTCACTTTGCATTCCTGGTTAGAAAAAAAGGATGACTTTGTGAGCTGTGTCAGTCCTCTGGCACAGTCTGTTACCCTGCTGATACCTGTCTGAGCAGAGTTACCATGAAGGCAGTATAACTGGAGCACAGTATTGCCCTAGAATGGGTAACGGTGCTGAAGAATAAAGTATGTTAACTGTCACGCTTAATCTTCCAAAACTTCATCTTGGGCATTAAAGAGTGGGTGTTCTTACTTGAGGAATGTATTTGTGTTTTCAGGAAGGAGCTGACAGCTGAGGCCCGGGAACTGAAGGGGGAACTTTATTGCCTGCCCTGCCACGACAAGATGGGGATCCCCATCTGTGGAGCCTGCCGCAGGCCCATCGAGGGACGAGTGGTCAATGCTCTGGGAAAGCAATGGCATGTTGAGGTGAGGCCTCTCTGAATCTGAAACTTCCTTCGGGAGATGTTTTGGAAGAGAACTAGTGCTGGTTGGAAGCTGTAGACATTTACATGTTATGTAATACGTGAATTCAGGCAAAAAAACTTATGTTTCGGATTGTCTTCATCTTATGTGAGTGATGAGTACAGCAGGGTCATCAGGGTTGCCTAAGAAAGCTGTGCTTTCACAACAGTAGTAACCTTCATTTTAAAATGCCTAAGTTGTATTGTAAAGGTTCTTGCAGAATATGGTTCACTGAACAACATTTACTTATAAATTACATACTTGGTCTGATGTACTTAGATACATCCTGTCCAACCCCAGTTAATAGGTTCGTAACAGCATTAGAGTTTGTAATGCAGGCAGAGCCAGTGCAATTCTTGCTTTTTAAGCCTTTTTAGCTCATTGTTTCTATAACTCTCAGCTGAGTCATCACAGCTTGCTCTGAAGTTTTTCAGTGATTGATGTTTTTAGTGATTTAAGCCTCCTAGGGCTTGAACTGGGGGAAATTACGCTGCTCATTTGAAATGCATTCCTACCAACTGTGTTTTATGTTCCTGTTTCTCTTCTCTGAAACAAGCAAGATCATAGCCTGCAAGTCTGCCAGTACAGACACAAGATGATCTCCCTTTCAGCAGGTCTTCTACCCATCTTTAATACAATTCTTAACTACCGTAGCAGACTAAATATTTCCTCTTTTATTTCTGTAAAGATTTTCCTGTCCCAATTTTGTTGAAGCCTTAATAGGTAACAGTTTTATACTGAAAGATGGGAGGTTTAGATGAGATACTAGAAAGAAACTTTTTTGCTGTGAGGGTGGTGAGACCCTGGCCCAGGTTGCCCAGAGAAGTTGTGGATGCCCCATCCCTGGAGGGGTTCAAGACCAGGTTGGAGGGGGCTTGGAGCAACCTGGTCTGGTGGGAGGTGTCCCTGCCCAGGGCAGGGGGGTTGGAACTTGACGATCTCGAAGGTCCCTTCCAACCTAAACCATCCTATGATTAAATGTCTCGTATTGAGCCATGATTGGTATCCATGCAAATGGTTTTCCCTGGTGATGGAAAAGTTGCTTTGCCTGCCACCAAATGCCTTTTTTTTTGTTTGTTTCTGGAAAAGTTGCTTTGCCTGCCACCAAATGCATTTTTTTTTTCTGTTTTACAGCATTTTGTTTGTGCCAAATGTGAGAAACCATTCTTGGGACACCGGCACTATGAGAAAAAAGGACTGGCTTATTGTGAAACTCACTATAACCAGGTAAATTCTGCCATCTATACTGTAAGTGATTGCGCTGACTGGCAAATGCTCTTTTGTATTTTACATATGCAATGCTATGCAGTTTTTGCATAATCTGAATTTGTAGAGGTGATGCAATGTTAAGAAGTTAGTGAGATTAAACAGAAAAATAGTTTTTCTTGGTAGATGTGAAAAGTGATGCTGAGAACAAAATAGAAATGTCTTTGGGATATTGTTTAAAATAGTTTTTCTTGGTAGATGTGAAAAGTCATGCTGAAAACAAAATAGAAATGTCTTCGGGATATTGACTTTCCTTTGTGCCATTGACAGAAAACAACACTGACTATGAGTTGTGACTAAAATCCCTGTAATTCTGCTCTGAAACTATTTGTGTGGATTTCTTTGATAATTACTTGCTTCATGGGCCTAAGATAAATGTTGTGCTGTCTAGAGCATAAGAAAAGTATCTTTCAAAAGCCAACCCAAACCTATTTTTTCTGTATGACTTTACTGAACAGCTATGAGTTTGGTATTTTCTTCTGTCAGATAAAATAGTCTCTTTCTCTCATAAGAACTAAGTGTTACTGTTTTGAAAGTAGCTTTAGGTTTCATTTTGATGTTTATAGTTAAGCACCAGGAGATGTTTGCCTACATTAAGCATCATACTCTACCGATCCTCTTTTCTCCAAATTGCTGTGTGTAGAGGACTTTAAGATCACATAACAGCAGTAAAGTGTGAGGCATCAACAAAAATGGTTTTGTAGAATTTAGCGGTATGAGATCCAAAGGAACATAGACTATTTGGCAAGTGTATGAGAAGTTATTCAGAAGATTTAAATTGGTATATTTGGGGGCTACTGCAATGGCTGGGAATTCTTTGAGTGCTAGGATTTAATGTTCACACCAGCTGTGTAATTTGGGGAGCATGAGCAGGCAGTAACATGAGTTCTTGTTCTGATTTCTTTTGCTGTGCAGCTCTTTGGAGATGTCTGCTACAACTGCAGCCACGTGATAGAGGGAGATGGTAAGATTTGTTCTCTCCTTGTTTTGGGTTGCTGTCCTTGTTCCATTTGTTAGTGCAGCTGTTGCAGTCACACAGTTGCAAGGCACCAGTGTT